ATCTTACGTGAGACGTAGGTAGGGTTTTAGCAGCTTCAACAGTCTCAATGAATTTATCGATGTTGTTATCACACGCGCCACCGTCTTCTGCGTGTTCGACGCCGTACACCAACATTCCTTTAAGTCCGGTCGACTCATACATACTCCTCACGCGCCTCGCGGCAGCAACCGCGTTTTCTCCCGCACAGAAATGGTCGTAAAACGTTCCTTTCACGACACGGAGGACTAAATCACGTGTAAAGGTCGTGTCCATGAGCTTCGAACTCATGATCCACGAGCCAAGATCGACCATAGGTCCTATGGACGTGGCATGAAGAACAACGGTCGAGCGGAGAAGGTCGGAGATTGGGACAGAAGCGAAGAGTCTCGCTTGGTCCGAGAGGTCAAGGTGATGGTCAACGTCTAGTTTCGATTGGTCAAAGGAAAAGATCTCCGGGACTATAGTGGTTGGAGGATCCGTGGTTGCACCTGATAGATCCAAAGATTGTGTAACCTGAAAGGCTTTCGGATTCGGTTTTCGATGCGGTTTTGAAAACATAGTCTCTGGGACAACGGTGGAAGGAGATCCGGCAGGGCTCACGGTGGAGAAACGGTGGATGAGATTTGGTCGGAGGAAACGGTTTGCCATTTGAAACTGAAAGAGAGTTTTGTTTTCTTTCTTCTTTTTGGTTACTTTTGGTTTCTCTTTTTTCTTCACAAGCGTTTTTGTGTGTATGTTATTGCGACATGTATTTATATACACATAAACTGATCTTTGTGTACCTATATGGTAATATAGATACTATTATAGGTCTCACTAGGATAATAAATTTATTTTCATAAATTGGGATGGAATCAGGAAAATAATAAACAAAAATTAGGAGAAAATCTTTTCATAAAGTGAGAATTGCCTAATTTTTTGTTTGACTGGAGTTAGTGATTTTAAAAATTTAATGGGTATCATTTTCAGCTTTTTCCATTTACTTGTTATTATTTATATGGAATTATATAATTTTAATGGATTAAAGAAAATCTACAACAAACAAATATTAACTTAATAATAATTCTCTATGTGTTATATATCCAAGTTATATTGATCAATTATCTATTATGAAAAGAAGATAGTACTATAAAATAAAACTATAATTAATTTAGAGTATTTTGACAAAATGTAGAGGATATGCTATTTTGGGCGACTTTAATAATCATTTTTTTTTTTGTGATTCTATTAAGTTAAGAGAAGAATTTGGGCGTAATTTTCTCACAGAACATATTTGTTTGGATAACAATAAAATAAGAAATCTATTAAGAAAGTCGAGTCAGAGACACTAAGGACGTGATGAGAACGATAAGTGATTGGATCGCTCATAGTTATTAAATTGATTTAGTTGTACGATAAAAAAAAAAAATAAGAATTCAATTGTAAAAAGAGTTGTCTTCACCGGTCGGTGGATGGTGAATCGGACGCAACAGTGGGACCTGATCTAATGAATCTTTGACTTTACTCAATTAGAATCTTCAACAAAAGCATTGCATGAATTTAGCAAGATTCTCTCCCCTAAATATGCAAATATTACTACCAATCAGGCCGATCCTGACGTAAAGCTGGTAAAATTAGGGATTTAGAACATGATAATGGGTGGATAATATATTGGGGTAATATATAAATTTTATAATATTTATTGTATTTTAGAATCCTAATTTAATTTGTTGATGTTTTTGTGATTATAGGTAGTAAATATAGAGAAATTATTAAAAAAAAAAAAATTATGAAATTGAATTTTTTTTAAATAAGTTTATTTTTT